GTGGAGGACAAGGCAGGTAATTCTGAGGCGTTTGTGTTTCAAAAGTCATACATATTTTAAAATTTAGCATTATATAAAGTAAAAGAGAGAGATTGTCTTGTTTGTTTTGTCCCACTGCTGCTTCTAAAGTTCCTGTAGCCTGGACGTGTCAGAACCAGAGAGAAAGAGAAGGAGGCTCAGATGGTGGGCATTCCTGATCGCCCCACCAGAGAGGGGTGGGGAAGTGGCAGGATCCCTGTGTTGATTCAGAGAACCTGAAAAGAGGATTGTACCTCCCTCTGGGGAGAATCCAGGGCCTTGGCAAGGATCCAAGGATGCCACGGGCCTGTGTAATTCCACGGCTGGAGAACAGGGGCCCGACAGTCTCTGAGGAGGAGATAGAGCGGCCGGCATCACCTCCGCCAGGTATGTCGGGTGACTCAGCAGATGGCAGGGTGGAGGTGGAGAGAGGACAGCATCTCATTCTGCACACAGACCTCATTCTGGGAAACTCAGAGGCAGTTCCGCACAAGAAGGGGCAGACTCTGAAGTGACAGAAATTAAGTTCTGTCCCATTGTGGGATAGGAGCTCCCCATAAAGCTTAAGGAGCTAATCCAGAACAAAGGGAAGTTTATTTCTTTGACCTGGTTTTACAGTCTGAGCCTTACTCTATATGTCTTATCTTCCTCTTCTCTTTCTACTTTCCTATTTCTGTCACCTCCTTTTATCATCCCATCTCCTGAATTAGTTTGGTTTAGGTAAGTCACATGTAACCAACAAAACCCTCAAAATATCAGGGGCAAAAACAAGAAAGAAATCATTTTCTCTCTTCTGCTGAGAGATACTGAGGTAGCAATCCAGGGTCAGCGACGTTGTCATCAGGAAACTAGGTTCCTTCTATCTTTCTGCTCCATCGTCCTCAGCACGGGCTTCCATCCTATAGGTCAACTCACCATCCTAGAGGGCTGCTGTAGCTTCAGCTGTCACAACCAAATTCCAGGAAAAAACAGGGGAGGACAAAATAGCCTCAGATGAGTCAGCATCCTTTAAGGGACCCCCTCCTGAAAGTCACACTGAAAACTTCCACTCTTTAGTTCTTTCACCAGAATCAGGGCCACACCCAACTACAAGGGAAGTTTGTTGATATGATCCATCGACTATACTAAAACTTGGGTCTGTTGCTAAGCAGGAAGGGGAAATGGCTTTTGGGTGGTACCTACACTCTCTTCCAAGCCACCCTTTTTCTGTACATACATTTTCCTCTCTGTCTGTCGGTCTGTCTCTCTCTCCTTTGTGCCTCTCTGGCTCTTGTCTTTTCCTCTCTCTGCTCGCAGTTGCAACTTGAGTGCACAGCACCTGAAGGAGCCACAGCGTCCCAGCCCTGGTGTGCGTCCCAGACTCCACACAGAGGACATCGTTTCCATCGCGTTAGTCACAGTGGCCGAGCATGCTGGTGCCATCATGCTCGCCTGCACAAGTGTTTTCAGTTTCATGTGGTTGCAGTGGATATGCTTCCTTCTTGATGCCAACTAAAGTTTCAGGCCATCTCCTGTTACCCATTGTGTGTGGTTGTGTGTGTGTGTGGATGCAAGCCAAGGAGGTCATCCCAGAACCTCCAGATGGTACTGTGAGCTGGAGCTGCCACTGACAAGGAAGCTTGCAGTGCAGGTGTCCTGGGAAACACTGGCAGGGCTCCCCTTTGCTAAGGGAGGGGGAGGGGGAGGAAGAAACTGACCTTTATTGACTATTATGTACCAAGACTTGTGGTTCTCAAATATGATTGCAAATGTTTTTCTCTTATGCCAAAATGATGAAGTGGGTAGGTACTTCTCTTAGTTTGGGTTCTGTTTAAAGCTGACCTGCAATCAGAACTTGGAGGCAGGGATTTATTTGTGCAGAGGTCCCAGGAAGAACAAATGAGGAAGTGGTAGGTTAGTAAGTGTTCATCAACCAGCTCGCCAACAAAAACAACCACCACTTGATTTGTAGCACTGGGTGATCTCTGTGGTGTAAATATGCCGCCAGGGCCAGTTTCAGGTTGCCATGATGACATCACAAAACACAGAGCTGGGAGGAGATGCACCCGTGGCTCTCATAAATCAGTGCGATCTGGCTCCAGAGAGTCAAAAGTGAGATGAAGGTTAAAACCAATGAAGGATGCCTTAAGAAGCAGGTCCCTGCTGTGGACCATGGACACTCAGTCACATGGGGTTGTTCTAGGAATCCACTAATGTCAAATCCAAACACCTGTCAGACTCCCTTCTCTATTGACTGTGGTCACCCCTAGGCATTAATTCTCCTCCACCTCCAGTTAGACCTCCATACCCTTAATTAAACTCTCATGACGCCTTCAAAGGCCTTCAGGCAGAGAAGGGTGAGCTCAGGTACTTGAGGTGGGAAGATGGCAGCATGCTGGGAAAATCCTTTGCTTGCAGCTGTTGGTGAACTCAGATGGGCAAAGGTACAAGGGATGGGGCAGCACCAGGAACAGCATTTACAGCAGAAGGAGCCAGCCCACTTTTTTAAAAATAAAGGACCAGATAATAGATGTTTTACTGTCTTTGCATGCCATGTACATCTTTGTCACATGTTCTTTTTTGTTTATTTGATGAAACTTTAAAAATGTGAAAAGCATCCTTAGCCTGTGAGTTGACCAACCTTGGGGTGAAGGCCATAGACGGCCAACCCCTGTGCTCTGGAGCAGCTGTAGCAGGACCTGGGAGCTTGTCAGAATTGCAGACACCCCCCTCAGCACTGAATCACCGTCTGTGTCCCCGGCACAGTAAAGTTAGAGAAACACTATGCTACTCTATTACTGTTTCCTTATCGTGATGAGGAAACCTGACCTTCAGAGGTGTCAAGCCACTTAGCAGAGATCACACAGAGCCAGGACTCAAACCTTGGTCTGACTGATCCCAAGGCTATATTCTTTACAGGTTTAAGTATAATTGTAAACAAACCATGAGTTCTCATTTTCATAATACCATATTTAAAGTGATCTGGCTAATTCAGAACAGTATCTAAGAGATTTAGCACTGATGTCATTGAGGGAAACTTGGAAGTGGAGAAAAGAGTCTTTTTTAGCAGTTTGCCGAAAGACAGGCAAGGAAGAGAGAAGCCAGAAATGTGTAATCCTGGGTCTGTGAGGACCATCTTCCTTATATAGCATCTTAGGTATCCTAGGAGTATACCAAGTCCCTCAGTATACTGGAACGTTTTTGAGAGCAGGAACAGAGTGTCCTGGGAGGTCCTCACACCTCCCAGAGAATCAAGTTGCTTCTACAATGGAACAGAGACAGAAGGTTCACAGACTCCCACTGCTAGATTGACCTCAGTTTCACTGCCAGGGGTCAGTTTAAGAGGTTCAGCCTTGGGACTCATCCTTTACAATGCACTAACCAGTGTCCACTCTGAGGCGGGTGAGTTGTAGTGTATAGATTAGAGCGTGACTCAGGTCCTCAGCTTGACTTCCAGACCATCTGACCTGTTTGTCCCTTCTTGGGGTTCTATTATATGCATGTTGGATATTATGGATTTACTGCTTATACTTCTTTTCTCTATCACTGCACCTTTTAAACCTGGTCTGCAGAATGTTTAAAGAAGTTCTTAAGCATATTTATCTGATTTCAGTGTTCTGTAGTATCCCAAGAAAGACGCTGCTTCTAGTGTGTGTCTGTGTAACAGCTTTATTGAAGTATCTTTGACATACTATTTTTTGAATGTGATACCCATAATTTTCATCTCTAGTCAATCTTTATAAGATACTGAATTATGCTTTTCCTTTATGACTATCTGCCTTTACTTTATAGATATAATGGATCCTGAGTTGTGTTCAAAGTACTAATAAAAATTTCCTAGTTTTTGAAATGTTCATCTTCCATAAGAAGACGGTTGCTTATTTTTTCAGATAGGTCCTCTTTCCACTGCCACAGATATTAATTTCTTTTTGTTCTTTTTTTTTTTTAATAGAGAATAGTTCTCTCTTTGAATTATTAGGAGTCAGGGTGGGTTCTTTCAGAGGTTGTGTTTGTTCATGTCTAAGTCACTGATAGGAGATGGAGGGGAAAGAGAATGTGGGGCAGTAGTGTTAGCAGGCTGGACTCTGATACTAACTGCCTGCCTTCAGGTCCCAACTCTGCCACTCCCTACTTGTGTAATTTTGGGTGATTCACTAACAGCTCCAAACCTCAGTTTTTTCTTCTATTAGATGGGAATAATAATACTGGCCTCCGGGGTATGTCTTGAGCCTTGACACATGGTGCTCAGAAAAGTGCCTAGTACAGGGTAAGCTCTGAAAAAGCATTAGCCATGATGATGGGAATAGTGGTGGTCATGGTGGTGATGATCAGGATAATAGTGATAGTCATGGTGATGATGATGATGATGATGGTGGTGATGAAAATGTTGACAGTGGTGATCATGATCAGACTTCATTCATACAGACTCTTTGCCTTTCTTTCCAACTCCATTATTTCTTTGCTTTTGGATCAAGTCAGTCTTTGAATCTGCTCTTGTATTATTGCATTTTTCAGAAGTTCTTCAAGTTCTCCATATAGATATGGGCCCCTTCCTTGGTATAATACGGTGGTAAATTTATTATTTTCTTCAGAGAAAAATCTTTCCTGGTACCCAAGAAAGACCTATTTTTCTTAGGAGATATTTTAGTTCTCACTCCATAGAAAATAGAGCCTGAGACCATATGTATCTGACAGTACTTACCAGGGAATGCAATCCCCGGAAACAAGAGTGAGGGGAGAAAAATAAAACAGAGAAGGAAGGAAAGTAAATACAGGTCTGCAGGGCTGAGCCAGCCACAGGGTCACAAGGAGAGCTAGCATGGTGGTCACGTGGCGGCACTGCCGATAGGTGCTGTAGGATCCTTGGTCTTTGGAGCAGTCCACCAGGAGAACCATGTACAGGAGTTGGAGCTGGCCCCTTCACACCCATGTCTCTCCTTGGTCAGGGATAGCCCTGCAGGGCATTGACTTGCTGTGTTTCCGGGTTGTGTTGTCCCATCCAGGTAGCTGCTGAGGAAGTCAAATCCCACACCCTGACGTGTGCTACTTCTTGTGGGCTCAGACATGGAGCGAGGAGCCAGAGTCTCCATGGGTCAAGGCAGTCCTGGACCCCAGAGAAGGTGTGATGGAGACCATGTGAAAACTTCGCTTTCTGCCTAAGAGAGACCGGGACTGCTGTAGGGATGAAGATCAGGGGGCCTGGCACATGGAGGTGGGCCCTTCACTGACCGAATATTGAGAGGAAAGTTTTATTTTCTCTAGTGTAGCATATGCCTGATCATCCAAGAAATACCTGTTTTATTGGGAGATGTTTTGGCTCAGGTTGCCTGAAGAATGAAGCTTAGAGTGGTGGAGCTGAGTATATGTGAGAAGGCCAATAAACTGGCTCCCACACAGCTTGAATATCCAACTATGTTAGGAAAAAACACATGTTCATTGAACTGATTTTTAAAAGGCTAGATCCCGTGCGCTAGTCTATTAAGTAGGGAATGTGAGCTGAGGGCCAGGTGGACCTGTGCAGAGTGGTAGGGGGATCACAGAGACACAGGATAGACATCTCCTTATGAGATTCCCAGGGGGGGAATAGAAAAGCTTTTCCAGGAGTTTTATGAAGTTTTGTCTGCACTGAGCTATAAACGTTCTTCCCCACTTTCTTTGAGACCCTCAGCAACGTCTACATAATATGCTGTAAAATGGACTTATTTAGGGCAGAGGCATTTGCCAAAGTGCTGAGTCTAGGCTCCAAGTGGGCACAGGGCCAGCTGGCATTGCACAGATATGTCTGGTCTTCATGGGTTTCACCAGGTGCCCGCACTTCTCCTGAGCCGCTCAGATTCTTGATTTCAGGCAACAGAAATGAACCCTGGCTCGCTTCAGTGAAAAGGAATCCAGAAGGATATGGGGGACTGGAGGATTGGACATTACAAAATGGGCAGACACCAAGGCAGTTCCAGTAGGTCAGTCAACAGGAAGACGCACAATGGATTTTAACAGGAAGCATCTGTCTGGGACACTACCACTCACTGCCATGAATGAACCAGCCACCTGTGACTCTGCCTCACACCCTGCTAAGCTGGAGTCCAACTAGCCCAGCCACATCAGGCACATAGTCGTCCTGGCAGGGGAGGAACCCTGCTCCAGCTAATGCTGTGTGGGGCAGGAGTGTTGCAGATTTTGCCTGTAATTCCACTTGGAACTGGAGAACACAGTCATTTAAACAGCGAGCCCTGGGATCAGATGACCTGGATTTGAATCCCAACCCTGCCATTTCCTTGCTAAGTGTACTTGGGAAAGTCACTTAAATTCTTGTTTCTCAGTTTCCTTATCTGTGAAATAGGGCATCATTAAGCTTTAGTTTAATAACGTACCATTATGAAAATGAACTATGGTTAGAGCCCTCATTTCTAGTGCCAGAAGTTATTTAGCAACTTGTATTCATTTCCAGTGGCTGCTGTGACTGATGACCGCAAAAGTGAAAGTGGCTTGAAACAACAGAAATCTATCAACTCACTGCCTGGCAGCCAGAAGTTTGAGATCTAGGTGTCAGCAGCGCTGCACTCCTGTGGGGGATTCTGTTTCCTGCCTCTCCCAGCTTCCCGTAGATCCTGCCATTCCTTGGGTGGTGGCCACATTACTTCAAGCTTTTATTTTTCACATGATCTCTTCTATCTTCCTTTCTTCAGTTGTCATTCAGTTTAGGGCCCACCCAGAAAACTCAGGGTGATCTGATTTTGATCTTCAAACTGAATTATATTCACAGAGACCTGTTCTCCAAAGAAAGTCACGATTGCCGGGTTCTGGGTGGACATTTTTCTAGAGGGTCACCATTCAACCCACCATGTAACTCTTTATTTCCACACTCACACACACCCCCAAATTGAGAAAGGGGTAGAATGCTGGATAGCCAAGCCAGGAGACCCTTTATTTATTTCTGTTGGTAATCCCAGTGGACACGGGGATTTGGAGAGGGTGTGCCTTACATAATGAGTCATTCAGCTTGTGTGAGTCAGGCACATGAACCTATGCTGCCAATATTGTTTTGATCTGAGTCCTGAGGGGTGTTTTTGGAGCTCATGTGAGAAACACCTTAGAGGAATAAACATGGAGACATGACAGATCATTCCCAAAACATACTCTTTCCTGCCTTAAGACCTGAGCTGTCAGCTATATTAACACCTGGTGATTGAAGGTTTCTCCCCCACTGAACTAAGACGACTGAAGGATTTGAAGCTGAAACTTCTGAGATGATCTCAGTAGTAAAACGTCAGTGACCACAAGCCCTCCCATAGGGAAATAAACTCTGCTTTTGTGCAAAGCTAGCCCTGTGTGCTGTAAGATTATGATTTTTCTGGAGAAACCTCAGAGAGGGGAAAGGAACGGTGCAGAGGCCAGGAACTGGTTTTGTTTGTACCCTCCTAGGCGGTGGCAGAAAAGAAAGGATCCAAGATCATCCAAAAAGGTCAGGCAAAATAAGATGTGGCCACCTTTAACTTTGTACCATCAGGGCCCATCCTATCATTGGAGTCCACAGTACACCACTGTGACATAAAAATTATTTTGAGCAGAAGGCATTTGAGTTCCTGAATTTCCTTCTTCCTTAAAAGCAGAGTCTCCCCCAAATACATGAAAGTTGTTAAAAGTCCCCTCGCCAGGAGCTCCCAGGGAAGTTTAATTCTTATTACTGGAGACAGAAGTTTCCACACCACATGGAAAAGAGATTGTCACAAAACAACAATCTATTCTAGTCCCAGCTATTCTCCTAATGGCCAGTTTGCCCTTTTGCAAAGCCATTTGTTTTCCAGTCGGTGCCCTGCTCTGCCTCCTCCTTCCCTATTAAGATAGTGTGTAAGCCTCAAACTCTAACCACACCACTGAATCACATTTGTCTATGAATTTCTCTCTGTCTGTGATTAGCTCTGTCTTTTCTCTTGCTAATCTGTCGTTTGTCTATTTAATTTGTAAGCCCCCAAGGACAAAACCTAAGAGGGCAGAGAGATGTTTTTTCTCCCTGATACTTTCATACACAGTTCAGCACAGTTCTGTCTTCAGGAGATAGTCTTGGTTTTTTCTCTCTTTCTTCATGTGTGTTCTCTTTAAGAATATTATGATTTCTTCTGGAAGAAGGAACCACATTCCTGCAGGGGCTGTCTTACGCATCTTACACACACACACACCACCCCCTGAAAGAGACTCTGAGAGAAGGATTTAAGTACAAGGTGTTTCTTTGGGAGAGGATCCCACTAGGGAAACGGGGAAATGAGACAGAAAACAAAGGAAGCTATCACATTTGTTACTGAACATCCTAGCACTGTGGCCAACTGGGTCTCAGCCTGCTGGGACTTGATAGGACTGTGTAGAACACACTTTAGCTACCCAAGGGGCGAGAACCTGGGTGTTTATCCTCTACCTCTAAGTCACCATTAGCTGACGGCTGCTCTTAGGACTGTCTCCTCCCCTCGCGCTTACAGTCTAAGCCGTGTTCTGGGAGACAGGTCCTTTAGGCAGAATCACAGGTACTCACAGAAGACGCCACAGGCATGAATGGACTAAGAACCAACAGTATTTAGGTGGGCTCAGTGCCTGTGACTGTGGGCTTTGCAGTTACAAAGTCCTGGATCCAAAGCCTGATTCAGCTAACTGTGAGATTCTGGCAAGTTTATTCTCTCTCTCAACCTCATTTTCCTCCTTTGTAAATTGAGTGTAATAATTATTTAACAAGGTTTGATTCAAAATGAAACACTCTTGTGAAAGGTTAAATGCATGCCTTGTGTAGGGGAAGCACAGAACTGACACTATAGATACCATCTGAGTGAACTTTGAAGTCCCGGAGAATCTGCGGAAAGACACAAAGTGCTACACTCATTTTGATACTTCGTGATTTAAGTGAGTCCTGGAATAGAGCTGCATATGTTAGCATACAATCGAAAAGAAAAGAAAAACTCCATTCTTCTGCCTGCTGAACACTTCTGACATCAAATGTGTGGACCACACCAACCAATTCTCCATCATCATCTGAGTGTCTTATGGTTCAATTCAGTTTGACACTGTCTCCTTGAAAATGGCATAACATCCCATGGATTGAGGGCTCCATCTCATAAGACTGTCTTCCACCTCAGATGCCAATTGCAAGTAATAGGCCCCCAGGGTATCCATGTTTCCATGTGACTTGGCTTCACATCATGGATTCCATGATCTCTTCCTCATATTCAATAAGTTGTTGTAATGGCCCAGAGAATTCAGGGAAAGCCTTATATTTACCAGTTTATTATAAACAAAGGATATGATAAAGGATGAAGATGAACAGCTAGATGAAGAGGCACACAGGTCAAGGGCTGGGAGGGGTCCCAAGCATAAGAGCTTTTGTTCCCATTGAGTTGAGGTTATGCATCCTCTGGGCATGTAAAACATTCACCAACTCAGCTCTTCAAACCCTGTCCTTTAGGGATTTTTCTGGAGGCTTTATCACATAGGCATGACTGATTATTAACTCCATCTTCAGCCCCACTTCCCTCCCCAGAGGATGGGGGATGGAGCTGAAAGTTCCAAGCCTCTAAGCATGACTTGGAGTTTCCAGTTAATCAGTCTCCATCCAGAAGCTATCTAAGGGCACGTCAAGAGTTGCCTTGTGAAAACAAAAGATGTGTCCGGGAAATTCCAAGGGATTTGGATACTGTGTATCAGGAACTAGAGACAAAGATCGAGTATTAGAACAAAAGATGTTCCTAGCATCTTTATCACTTAGGAAATTGCAAAGGTTTGAAGAGCTCTGATGAAAACCAAAATATTTGTTTCTTATTGCATCACAGTACCAAAAAGGATGCATGCGTAACTCCTTCCCTTTCAGGGTCCTGGTCCACAATAATCTAGGACAAAGTGGGGAGGTATTCAGCTAGTCAGAGGGGTTCAGAGACCAATGAGAATGAAAAAGAAGGAGACTACAGAGGAGACCATTCCTTGTGGCCATCAAAATAGTCCATCCATGGACCAGTGGTTACCATGGAGACAGCTTGCATCATCCTGTGGCCTTTCATGGTGTGGTTGGCCACAGCCAGGTGTGTTAACCTAGAAGCCAGATTGTTCAGGAAATGGACTCTACTTTCCCAACCTTCTAAATATTAAGAGCCCAAGAGAGGGACTACATGCACAAGGCTTCTTACATACAGCCAGCCTCAGGCATAGTCTGCCTATCAATCCTTACTTAATCCTGCTTCACCTAATGTTTTTACTGAGGAAGAAGGTCTTCAAACATAATATCCTTTGAACCCCAGTCTCCTGTGGGAATCATGATGCTAGCTGTCTTAGCCCAAATTCTCTAGAAAATGGAGCCTGAGGCAAATAATTACATGCTAATATTTTATTGGGAAGTGCAAGCCCAGGAATTCTGGTGGGAGAGGAAAGGGGACTGAGGCTGGGAATGAATGACAGCAAAGAGGAAATGTGTAAACCAAGTTGGCACAAAGAACAACCAATTGCTTCACCTCTGGTCACCGTCCTCAGAGAGACCGTGTTAGCTTCTTAGGACAAAGTGCTGGTCAAGAGGATAGGAGAAGAATTTATCTTTGAGTGCCTGTCCCCCACTCATCAAAGGATTTTTCCATATGGTGTTAACCTTCCGCAATACACACTTCCAGGGGTGTTGCATATATTGGGGTACAGAAGCATCTCATGTCTCAGCAGCAAGAGGGATGATCTAGGGTGGGAGGGGGCAGGAGAGCCATGTGGTCATGAGTGAGGACTGTCAGGTCATACTCTGGTGGGTGGTGACAAAGATGCTCTTTGACCAAAGTCTAGTCAGGCTGTTCTGAGTATTGTTTCAAGTAGACCCCATCCTTGGGCATGTCCTCAGAAGCTCAAATTTGGCCACAGTCCTGTTAAGTCAATTTTGGTAGCCTCTCTTACCCACTTCCACCCGCCAGGTGGGTGCCTGCCTTCAGGAAGAATCCTGTTGTGTCAGTTTAGCAAAGAGTGGCCCCATCCTCTTAGTCATTTTCCATCTGCTGACATCTTTCACCTTCCTCCTTGGTTAAAAATCCTTACTTTTTCTTGCTGTGTTCAGAGTGGAACCAACCTCCCTCCCTTACTGCAAAGCCCCAGTATGGTAGTTCCCCTAAATAGTGTCTTTCTTAGCACTTTTAACAAGTATCAGAATAATTTTTTTTCTTTAATAGTGGCCAGGTCACAAAGAGATGATCTGTTCCTGTGAGTTCAAAATCCGTACAAGGTGCTTGATATGCAATTTCTGTAGGAAAGAAGGGACTCTGGATAAGAATTAAATTTTTTGAGCATTTAGTTGGCACTAGACACTCTTGTAAGTTCTTTATAGTCTTGTGTTAATTTCTGCTCTACAACAGAGTGAATTAGCTCTACGTGTACACGTATCCCTTCTCTCTTGGACCTCCGTCCTACCCACTTCTATCCCACCCACCTAGGTCATCACAGAACATCAAACTGAGCTCCTAGCGCTATACCGCAGCTGCCCACTAGCTAGCTGTAATCTGGTACCATTTTTTAAATCTATTTTTCAGAAAATGAAATGTGAACACCATGAGTTCTAATCAACTAAGTTAAGATCACTCAGCTAATAACTTTCAGAGCCCAACTCTGAACCCGGGTAGACTAGTTCCATAGGATGCTTCCTTAGCCATTTTTCTTTGACACAGAATACCATTACAATATACAGAAGTATATGCTAACTCCATCCCTTGCCAGCCATGGGACCTAGAATGAGGAAGGCCATCCCTGGGGCCCTGTTTGTTCATCTGTACGATGCATGTGAGCATTCACTGGCATTTTATGAGAACAAACATTGTGAAATATATCAGAGAGTTTTCACCTTAGTGTCCAGCTCCAAATAAACACACACTCCATTTTATGTGTTATTATTATCAAATAACTTTTAAGTGACTTCATTTTACCTAAAACAGTGCTCATTGAATAGAAAACATTTTGGTTTTTTTTGCCACAAAGAATCACACTTAGCTTCTTTCAAGTTTTAATTTTGATCACCTCTACCTGCCCAAAGTGTGCAGTGCCCATAGCTATAGAGTGTTGGAGCGATTAGTGACTGAACACGCAGTGACCCCCGTTTACTTTCTGTGAAATCCAAATTGAGTGAGCCGACACACCACAGGGACAGAGCAGAGCTGTTTGGATAATTGCTGATCATTCATGGGGATCAAATAAACCTTTGCAGGAAACCTCATCCTTGTACTGGATTATTATAATGCTTCAGCCAGATCTCTGACTTTCAAAATATCTTATAAATTTGGTTTGAACACTTGTATTAGGTTTAATATCATCTTATTTTTCTGTTTTATGA